TCCCATTCCGCTCTCTCCACCCCATTCCGCTCTCTCCATCCCATTCCGCTCTCTCATCACATTCCGCTCTCTCCACCCCATTCCGCTCTCTCCATCCCATTCCGCTCTCTCCATTCCATTCCGCTCTCTCATCCCATTCCGCTCTCTCCACCCCATTCCGCTCTCTCCATCCCATTCCGCTCTCTCATCCCATTCCGCTCTCTCCACCCCATTCCGCTCTCTCATCCCATTCCGCTCTCTCCATCCCATTCCGCTCTCTCCACCCCATTCCGCTCTCTCCACCCCATTCCGCTCTCTCCACCCCATTCCGCTCTCTCCATCCCATTCCGCTCTCTCCACCCCATTCCGCTCTCTCCATCCCATTCCGCTCTCTCATCCCATTCCGCTCTCTCCACCCCATTCCGCTCTCTCCATCCCATTCCGCTCTCTCCACCCCATTCCGCTCTCTCCATCCCATTCCGCTCTCTCCACCCCATTCCGCTCTCTCCATCCCATTCCGCTCTCTCATCCCATTCCGCTCTCTCCATCCCATTCCGCTCTCTCCATCCCATTCCGCTCTCTCCACCCCATTCCGCTCTCTCCACCCCCATTCCGCTCTCTCCATCCCATTCCGCTCTCTCATCCCATTCCGCTCTCTCCACCCCATTCCGCTCTCTCCATCCCATTTCCGCTCTCTCCATCCCATTCCGCTCTCTCCACCCATTCCGCTCTCTCATCCCATTCCGCTCTCTCCATCCCATTCCGCTCTCTCCACCCCATTCCGCTCTCTCCACCCCATTCCGCTCTCTCCACCCCATTTCCGCTCTCTCCATCCCATTCCGCTCTCTCCACCCCATTCCGCTCTCTCCATCCCATTCCGCTCTCTCATCCCATTCCGCTCTCTCCACCCCATTCCGCTCTCTCCATCCCATTCCGCTCTCTCATCCCATTCCGCTCTCTCCACCCATTCCGCTCTCTCCATCCCATTCCGCTCTCTCCATCCCATTCCGCTCTCTCATCCCATTCCGCTCTCTCCATCCCATTCCGCTCTCTCATCCCATTCCGCTCTCTCCACCCCATTCCGCTCTCTCCATCCCATTCCGCTCTCTCCATCCCATTCCGCTCTCTCCATCCCATTCCGCTCTCTCCATCCCATTCCGCTCTCTCATCCCATTCCGCTCTCTCCACCCCATTCCGCTCTCTCCACCCCCATTCCCTCTCTCATCCCATTCCGCTCTCTCCACCCATTCCGCTCTCTCCATCCCATTCCGCTCTCTCATCCCATTCCGCTCTCTCCACCCCATTCCGCTCTCTCATCCCATTCCGCTCTCTCCATCCCATTCCGCTCTCTCCACCCCATTCCGCTCTCTCCACCCCATTCCGCTCTCTCCACCCCATTCCGCTCTCTCCATCCCATTCCGCTCTCTCCACCCCATTCCGCTCTCTCCATCCCATTCCGCTCTCTCATCCCATTCCGCTCTCTCCACCCCATTCCGCTCTCTCCATCCCATTCCGCTCTCTCCACCCCATTCCGCTCTCTCCATCCCATTCCGCTCTCTCCACCCCATTCCGCTCTCTCCATCCCATTCCGCTCTCTCATCCATTCCGCTCTCTCCATCCCATTCCGCTCTCTCCATCCCATTCCGCTCTCTCCACCCCATTCCGCTCTCTCCACCCCATTCCGCTCTCTCCATCCCATTCCGCTCTCTCATCCCATTCCGCTCTCTCCACCCCATTCCGCTCTCTCCATCCCATTCCGCTCTCTCCATCCCATTCCGCTCTCTCCACCCCATTCCGCTCTCTCATCCCATTCCGCTCTCTCCATCCCATTCCGCTCTCTCCACCCCATTCCGCTCTCTCCACCCCATTCCGCTCTCTCCACCCCATTCCGCTCTCTCCATCCCATTCCGCTCTCTCCACCCCATTCCGCTCTCTCCATCCCATTCCGCTCTCTCATCCCATTTCCGCTCTCTCCACCCCATTCCGCTCTCTCCATCCCATTCCGCTCTCTCATCCCATTCCGCTCTCTCCACCCCATTCCGCTCTCTCCATCCCATTCCGCTCTCTCCATCCCATTCCGCTCTCTCATCCCATTCCGCTCTCTCCATCCCATTCCGCTCTCTCATCCCATTCCGCTCTCTCCACCCCATTCCGCTCTCTCCATCCCATTCCGCTCTCTCCATCCCATCCGCTCTCTCCATCCCATTCCGCTCTCTCCATCCCATTCCGCTCTCTCATCCCATTCCGCTCTCTCCACCCCATTCCGCTCTCTCCACCCCATTCCACTCTCTCCATCCCATTCCGCTCTCTCCACCCCATTCCGCTCTCTCCATCCCATTCCGCTCTCTCATCCCATTCCGCTCTCTCCATCCCATTCCGCTCTCTCCATCCCATTCCGCTCTCTCATCCCATTCCGCTCTCTCCATCCCATTCCGCTCTCTCCACCCCATTCCGCTCTCTCCATCCCATTCCGCTCTCTCCACCCCATTCCGCTCTCTCCATCCCATTCCGCTCTCTCCATCCCATTCCGCTCTCTCCATCCCATTCCGCTCTCTCATCCCATTCCGCTCTCTCCATCCCATTCCGCTCTCTCATCCCATTCCGCTCTCTCCATCCCATTCCGCTCTCTCCACCCCATTCCGCTCTCTCCACCCCATTCCGCTCTCTCCACCCCATTCCGCTCTCTCCATCCCATTCCGCTCTCTCATCCCATTCCGCTCTCTCCATCCCATTCCGCTCTCTCCATCCCATTCCGCTCTCTCCATCCTATTCCGCTCTCTCCATCCCATTCCGCTCTCTCCATCCCATTCCGCTCTCTCCATCCCATTCCGCTCTCTCCACCCCATTCCGCTCTCTCCACCCCATTCCGCTCTCTCCATCCCATTCCGCTCTCTCATCCCATTCCGCTCTCTCCATCCCATTCCGCTCTCTCATCCCATTCCGCTCTCTCCATCCCATTCCGCTCTCTCATCCCATTCCGCTCTCTCCACCCCATTCCGCTCTCTCATCCCATTCCGCTCTCTCCATCCCATTCCGCTCTCTCCACCCCATTCCGCTCTCTCCACCCCATTCCGCTCTCTCCACCCCATTCCGCTCTCTCCATCCCATTCCGCTCTCTCCACCCCATTCCGCTCTCTCCATCCCATTCCGCTCTCTCATCCCATTCCGCTCTCTCCACCCCATTCCGCTCTCTCCATCCCATTCCGCTCTCTCCATCCCATTCCGCTCTCTCCACCCCATTCCGCTCTCTCATCCCATTCCGCTCTCTCCACCCCATTCCGCTCTCTCCATCCCATTCCGCTCTCTCCACCCCATTCCGCTCTCTCCATCCCATTCCGCTCTCTGCATCCCATTCCGCTCTCTCCATCCCATTCCGCTCTCTCATCCCATTCCGCTCTCTCCACCCCATTCCGCTCTCTCCACCCCATTCCGCTCTCTCCACCCCATTCCGCTCTCTCCACCCCATTCCGCTCTCTCCATCCCATTCCGCTCTCTCCACCCCATTCCGCTCTCTCCATCCCATTCCGCTCTCTCATCCCATTCCGCTCTCTCCACCCCATTCCGCTCTTTCCATCCCATTCCGCTCTCTCCACCCCATTCCGCTCTCTCCATCCCATTCCGCTCTCTCCACCCCATTCCGCTCTCTCCATCCCATTCCGCTCTCTCATCCCATTCCGCTCTCTCCATCCCATTCCGCTCTCTCCATCCCATTCCGCTCTCTCCATCCCATTCCGCTCTCTCATCCCATTCCGCTCTCTCCATCCCATTCCGCTCTCTCCATCCCATTCCGCTCTCTCCATCCCATTCCGCTCTCTCCATCCCATTCCGCTCTCTCCATCCCATTCCGCTCTCTCCACCCCATTCCGCTCTCTCCACCCCATTCCGCTCTCTCCATCCCATTCCGCTCTCTCCACCCCATTCCGCTCTCTCCATCCCATTCCGCTCTCTCATCCCATTCCGCTCTCTCCATCCCATTCCGCTCTCTCATCCCATTCCGCTCTCTCCATCCCATTCCGCTCTCTCATCCCATTCCGCTCTCTCCACCCCATTCCGCTCTCTCATCCCATTCCGCTCTCTCCATCCCATTCCGCTCTCTCCACCCCATTCCGCTCTCTCCACCCCATTCCGCTCTCTCCACCCCATTCCGCTCTCTCCATCCCATTCCGCTCTCTCCACCCCATTCCGCTCTCTCCATCCCATTCCGCTCTCTCATCCCATTCCGCTCTCTCCACCCCATTCCGCTTTCTCCATCCCATTCCGCTCTCTCCACCCCATTCCGCTCTCTCCATCCCATTCCGCTCTCTCATCCCATTCCGCTCTCTCCATCCCATTCCGCTCTCTCCATCCCATTCCGCTCTCTCATCCCATTCCGCTCTCTCCACCCCATTCCGCTCTCTCCATCCCATTCCGCTCTCTCCACCCCATTCCGCTCTCTCCATCCCATTCCGCTCTCTCCACCCCATTCCGCTCTCTCCATCCCATTCCGCTCTCTCATCCCATTCCGCTCTCTCATCCCATTCCGCTCTCTCATCCCATTCCGCTCTCTCCACCCCATTCCGCTCTCTCCATCCCATTCCACTCTCTCCACCCCATTCCGCTCTCTCCACCCCATTCCGCTCTCTCCATCCGATTCCGCTCTCTCCATCCCATTCCGCTCTCTCATCCCATTCCGCTCTCTCCACCCCATTCCGCTCTCTCCATCCCATTCCGCTCTCTCCACCCCATTCCGCTCTCTCCATCCCATTCCGCTCTCTCCACCCCATTCCGCTCTCTCCATCCCATTCCGCTCTCTCATCCCATTCCGCTCTCTCCATCCCATTCCGCTCTCTCCATCCCATTCCGCTCTCTCATCCCATTCCGCTCTCTCCACCCCATTCCGCTCTCTCCATCCCATTCCGCTCTCTCCACCCCATTCCGCTCTCTCCATCCCATTCCGCTCTCTCCATCCCATTCTGCTCTCTCATCCCATTCCGCTCTCTCCATCCCATTCCGCTCTCTCCACCCCATTCCGCTCTCTCCATCCCACAGCACGCAGTGACTATAATGGACGAGCAGGCAAGCATTGCAGTGCAGCAGTGGGTGCATGCCGTCACACAGGCATCTCTTCCCACCACCGACGGCAATGGCAGCGGCAGCGGCAGCGGCAGTGTTCCTGCTAGTAGTGGCAGTGGCGTGTGTGAGATCGACATGTATGCTGCATTCACCACTTTGGCCCTTGACATCATTGGCCTGGCGGCCTTTGGCAGCACTGTCAGCACTGCGAAAACTGTGGTGGTGGCGGTGGGGAGGAGAAGGAGAGGGAGGGACTGGAGGACTAGGAGGGAGTGAGAAGGGGAGTCTGGAGGAGGAGGAGGAGGAGGGGAGTGTGAGGGAGGTGTACGAAGCAGTGGATACTCTGAGCACTCGCAGCACAGAGCGCATGTTCTCTGGCCGATTGGCCATTCCCTTCTACACGTGAGTGAACCCTCATCCCTTTTACAGCCCCCCCCCCTACATGAGAGGCTATGGACACTCTAAGCGCTCACTGCGCTCGCAGCACTCACTGCGCTCGCAGCACTCACTGCACTCGCAGCACTCACTGTGCTCGCAGCACTCACTGTGCTCGCAGCACTCACTGCGCTCGCAGCACTCACTGCGCTCGCAGCACTCACTGCGCTCGCAGCACTCACTGCGCTCGCAGCAGAAGGGATGTTCTCTGGCCAAGTGGTCATTCGCTTCTGCATGTGACCGCTCTTTTTTCCCCTTTCCCCTGCCCTCTTACTGTTTAGCGAGGGTGAGAGATCAACAGATTATCCAGAGTGCGAGGGAGGAGAGACGCAGTGTAAGAGAGGGAGAGGAGCAGAGTGTGAGGGAGGAGAGGAGTACAGAGAGAGACAGGTAGGGATGCTGCTCCTGTTGCTCCTGCTGTTGCTGCTGCTGCTGCTGCTGCTACTGCTGCTGCTGCTGCTGCTACTGCTGCTGCTCCTGCTGCTCGTGTTGCTGCTGCTGCTGCTGCTGCTGCTGCTGCTACTGCTGCTGCTGCTCCTGCTGCTCCTCATTCCAAGGCGGTTTTCTTTCGTCTCTCACCCTTTTAGCCCCTCACTTGACCTCTTACTGACCCTGTTTCTTGATTGTGCAGGGTGGTTTTTAGAATTCTCAAGAACACCCTCACTTGACCTCTGACCCTGTTTCTTGTTCTCTCTCAGCTGGTTTTTCAGGCGCCTTGAAATTGGCTGGAATTCTGACCCTTTTAACAGCTGGACCCCTGACTGACCCTGTTACTTGTTCGTTCCTGGCAGCTGGTTTTTGAGGCACCTCCAAAATCGGCTTAATCTCTGACCCTTTAGCTTTTTCCCTCTCAGCTGGCGACCTACTGAGGAGAGCAGCATTCTTCAACGAAGGGCGCCCTTCATGGGGTTTGGTTCCGCGTTCAAGTCACCTTTCCTGCTCTCTCTCCTCTGTCGTTTGCTTTTGAGGCGCCTCGAAACTAGACTCCTATCACGTTGGTTCCGCGTTCAAGTCACCTTTCCTGCTCTCTCTCCTCTGTCGTTTGCTCGCACTCCTTCTGTCTCGCCCTTGTCCCTCTCAGGTGGCTACCCACCCAGGAGAACAGAGCACTGTGGCACGCAGGGGAGAGGGTGAGACGGCTGTCCCTGGACCTCATTGCAAGGAGGAGGAGTTCCCAGGCGGTGAGTGTTTGGGGGGAGAACAGAGCACTGCGACAGGCAGGGGAGAGGGTGAGACGGCTGTCCCTGGACCTCATTGCAAGGAGGCGACAAGAGCAAGTGGTGAGTGCTTGAGTTGTTTGAGGTGCGAAGGGAAGCTGGAGGGGACAGGAGAACAGAGCACTGCAGCAGGCAGGGGAGAGGGTGAGACGGCTGTCCCTGGACCTCATTGCAAGGAGGAGAAGTTCCCAGGAGAAATTCTCCTCCTTGCAATGAGCGAGCTCCAGGGACAGCCGTCTCACCCTGAGAGTTGCTTGAGGGGACAAGTGGCGAAAGTGGAGAGCACGAGAGGACAGAATTATGCAGCAGTGGAACCATTTTTTAGGATTCTCAAAAATGCAGCAAGCAGGGAGAGGGTGAGACAGGCTGCCGCCGGAGCTGATTGCAAGCGGGAGAAAAGCAGAGACCGTGCGATAAGAGATGTCTCAAAAAATAGATTATTATCACACTTATCGCAAGGAGGTGAAACTCACCGAGAGCGAAAATTTGAGTTGTTGAGGGGAGGAGTGGGAGAAGCGGGGAGAAGGAGAGGATGCATTAATGCATCTCTCCTATTCTGCACTTGGAAGGAGAGACAATTTTCTATAGCCTTGACTTTTGAGTCGACTCAAAAGTCACAAGTGACCTCGTTTTGAGTCGACTAAAAAGTCAATGTCGCCTCATTTTTTAGTCGACTCAAAGGACTTCTGCACCTGGAAGGAGAGACCAGTATTCCTAAAAAGTAAGAAGTCGCCTCGTTTAGAGTCGACTCAAAAGTCCTATGCAGTTGGAAGGAGAGACAATATTCGTAACCCTTGACGATGCTGGCAGCCGGGGACCCTCCCTTACCTCGTTCCTAATACCGTGGCGTCTATTCAGTCTTTGGATTCCCCTCATTCATCTTTGAGGCGCCTCAAAAATATTCCCCATATAAAATCCGCATGAAATGAGACGATTTTTGAGGCGCCTCAAAAATATTACCATGGCGTCCATTCCGCCTTTGGATTCCCCTCATTCATCTTCCTCCCCCGCAACTTGGCTCTCCCACCCCCCAACCCCCCCCCCCAATGGAACGTGCTCTATCCTGGTTGACACAGGCAAGGCTTTGCCGCCAGGGCTGCTGGCAGGGGGCTGCTGGCAGGGATGGTGGCAGGGATGGTGGCAGGGATGGTGGCAGGGATGGTGGCAGGGATGGTGGCAGGGATGGTGGCAGGGATGGTGGCAGGGATGGTGGCAGGGATGGTGGCAGGGATGGTGGCAGGGATGGTGGCAGGGATGGTGGCAGGGATGGTGGCAGGGATGGTGGCAGGGATGGTGGCATGTGCAATACGCCCCTTATGCCAGATCCCCTCCTCTTCCTTCCATGTCACGTGCCATGTTCAGAGTGCCATGTTCAGAGTGCCATGTTCAGAGTGCCATGTTCAGAGTGCCATGTTCAGAGTGCCATGTTCAGAGTGCCATGTTCAGAGTGCCATGTTCAGAGTGCCATGTTCAGAGTGCCATGTTCAGAGTGCCATGTTCAGAGTGCCATGTTCAGAGTGCCATGTTCAGAGTGCCATGTTCAGAGTGCCATGTTCAGAGTGCCATGTTCAGAGTGCCATGTTCAGAGTGCCATGTTCAGAGTGCCATGTTCAGAGTGCCATGTTCAGAGTGCCATGTTCAGAGTGCCATGTTCAGAGTGCCATGTTCAGAGTGCCATGTTCAGAGTGCCATGTTCAGAGTGCCATGTTCAGAGTGCCATGTTCAGAGTGCCATGTTCAGAGTGCCATGTTCAGAGTGCCATGTTCAGAGTGCCATGTTCAGAGTGCCATGTTCAGAGTGCCATGTTCAGAGTGCCATGTTCAGAGTGCCATGTTCAGAGTGCCATGTTCAGAGTGCCATGTTCAGAGTGCCATGTTCAGAGTGCCATGTTCAGAGTGCCATGTTCAGAGTGCCATGTTCAGAGTGCCCATGTTCAGAGTGCCATGTTCAGAGTGCCATGTTCAGAGTGCCATGTTCAGAGTGCCATGTTCAGAGTGCCATGTTCAGAGTGCCATGTTCAGAGTGCCATGTTCAGAGTGCCATGTTCAGAGTGCCATGTTCAGAGTGCCATGTTCAGAGTGCCATGTTCAGAGTGCCATGTTCAGAGTGCCATGTTCAGAGTGCCATGTTTCAGAGTGCCATGTTCAGAGTGCCATGTTCAGAGTGCCATGTTCAGAGTGCCATGTTCAGAGTGCCATGTTCAGAGTGCCATGTTCAGAGTGCGCCCGGCAAACACCTCTTCACACTGATGCTGCTGGCAGCCAGGGACCGTCCTTCCTTTACCTCCATTCAACCCCATTCACCTCCATTCACCTCCATGCACCTCCATGCACCTCCATTTCCTTGCTTCAGTCGGCCGCCTCCCACCCTCCCACCTTATCCCTCCTCCTCTCCCCCCTTGTCTTGTATCCAGGGCGAGCCCGGCAAGGACCGGCTGGCAGGGATGCTGGCAGCCAGGGACCGTCTTTTCGTTGACGTGTATTCCATATTCCTTGTGTTCTGCTCATTTATCCCTCTCCTCCTCCCCCGAGGTGACTTTTGACTTTTGAGTCGACTCAAAAGTCATCCCTCTCCTCCTCCCCCAAGGTGACTTTTGAGTCGACTCCAAAGGCTTTCCCTTGCTGTGTATTCCTTGTGTTCTGCTAATTTATCCCTCTCCTCCTCCCCCTTGACTTGTCTTATATTCAGCGCGAGCCCGGCAAGGACCTGCTGGCAGTTATGCTGGCAGCCAGGGATGACGTCAGCAACGAGCAGATGACGGATCAGCAGCTGGTGGACGAGTGTGTGACGTTCCTCGTGGCTGGTAGGGTGTGGTGGAGTGCGGTGATGAGCGGTGATTCATGGTCAACTGGGGTATGCTGGCACGACACCCCGAGTGGCATGGCAGACGAGGCTGCGGGAGGGAGGAGGTTATGATTTCACGCTTTACCATCCCTTCCCATCCCTTACTGTCCGCAGGCCACGAGACAACAGCCAAGCTGCTGACATGGGCGGTCTACCTGCTGGCTCGACACCCCGAGTGGCAGAGGAGACTGCGGGAGGAGGCGCTGCGTGTGATGGGGGGGGGGGAGAAGGGGAAGGGGAATAACGGAGAGGGAAACGAAGAAGGGGAGACGGGGGAGGGAGAAGGGGTGGGGAAGCAGGGCGAAGGGAATAGGGGCGGAATGAAGGTGATGTGGCAGCACGTGGGGCAGCTGAGGGAGATGCACATGGTGCTGCAGGAAACACTGAGGCTCTTCCCGCCCACTCCTGTCATTAGCAGAGAGGCCAGCAAGGTGAGAGTCAGCAAGGTGAGAGTCAGCAAGGTGAGGAAGAAGCAAGGGGAGTGAGATGCGGGCCAAGGGAGGAAGGAACAAAGAAGGGATGGGAGCACGTGGGGCAGCTGCAGGAGATGCACCTGGCGCTGCTGCTGGAACTCAGGCTCGTCCCGGCCACTCCTGTCGTTAGCAGGGAAGCAAGGAACGAACACGAATGAACAGTCATCCGTGTAACTACAAGGAGGGTTGACAGGGTGGCATGGGAGCACGTGGGGCAGCTGCAGGAGATGCACATGGCGCTGCTGCTGGAAACACTCCGGCTCTTCCCGGCCACTCCTGTCATCAGCAGGGAGGCCTGTGTGGTAAGGAAGGAGGCATCTTTTGAGTTGACTCAAAAGTCACCAGTGTGGTAAGGAAGGAGGCATCTTTTGAGTTGACTCAAAAGTCACCAGTGTGGTAAGGAAGGAGGCATCTTTTGAGTCGACTCAAAAGTCACCAGTGTGGTAAGGAAGGAGGCATCTTTTGAGTCGACTCAAAAGTCACCAGTGTGGTAAGGAGGCATCTTTTGAGTCGACTCAAAAGTCACACGTGTGGTAAGGAGGCAATCTTTTGAGTCGACTCAAAAGTCACCAGTGTGGTAGGGAGGCATGCATCCCAGGTATTAAAATCTCCCAAACCAAGTCACGTACACCTTACCCAGAGGTGACCCTTCCCCATATCTATTCCCAGTGTGGTGACCCTTCCCCATATCTGTTCCCACATCATTCCCAGTACTTCTTTCCTTCTCATACCCACAACCAGCCACCCAGGACGTCTCCCTCCGTCCCTTCTCATTCCCACCGGACACACACACGGATCACAATTGCCATGTTGCACTGTGACTCCCCCCCTTTCCCCCCTACCCCCCCCTAGCACACTCACCAAGACACATCTCTCGGTCCCTACTCAATCCCGGCGGTCACACGGACCATGATCGAAATTGCCATGATGCACTGAGACTTCTCCCCCTTTCCTGCTCTCCCTCATGTTCACTGTGACGCTTCCACAGTACCCCCTATCCCCATCCCTGTCCGCCGTCCACTAGTACATGGGAATTCAGGACGTATCCCTCAGTCCCTACTCAATCCCAGCGGGCACGCGGATCATGATGGCCATTGCCATGGTGCAGACAGTGACCTTTCCTCCTTCCCGTCCCCACTTCCCCCTCCCTCCCTTCCCATTCCCACACACGCATTCACACCTCAGGACACATCTCTCGGTCCCTACTCCATCCCAGCGGGCACGCGGATCATGATGGCCATTGCCATGGTGCAGAGCGACCCTCGCTTCTGGGGGGAGGATGCTTTGGAGTTCAACCCATTGAGGTTCAAGGGTGAGTGCAAAACCGCAGGCTGATATTGCCATGGTGCAGAGCGACCCTCGCTTCTGGGGGGAGGATGCCTTGGAGTTCAATTCAACCCACTAAGGTTCAAAGGTGAGCTTCGAGTAGGCGATATCCGAATGGGCCTTTGGACTATCCAAGACGGGTGCAGAGCGACCCTCGCTTCTTTGGGAGGGGGGAGGGGAGGGGATGGATTTTAGATCAGCCCTTTAAAGCCCAGGTCCCAAATTAGACAAGCAGGCATCAAACTGGGCCCAGTTTGATGCTGACCGCGCTCGCAAACTACCAAAAAAAAAAAAAAACGAACCAACTACCCCTTCGCCACAGTGAGAGGCAAAATCGAGGTTGGTATATCTACGGTGGAAATCAACTTTGCAACTGGGCCCAGTTTGATTCGTGTAGTTTCCACCGTTGGATCGGGCTTGCCAAACCCAACTCCCATAAAACCCTGCTCTTGCTAGGTTTCCAATCAACGGCTGTAACCGTGCTTACAAATTGGGACTTAATGTCTCCCTGCGTCTCAGCCATCAGATCCGCGTTCGGCCCAAATTGAACTCACCCCAAATCAAACTGGGCCCAGCTTGCATACGAAATCCTGCACGAAGTAACAGAATCACAATTTCCGAACCCAAAACACAATTGGTTTTTCCACCCGCCCAGCTCAAATTCTGCCAGTTGACTTGCGTGAACTAATTTGAGATCTGGGCTTTGAGGTTCAAATGTGAGTGGCTTTTTTTTTGTGGGGGGGGGGGGGGGGGACGACTCATAACAGTTCAACCAACAGTTGAACAAGGTGAGCACTGTATACTCAAGTGTGGCATAAACAACTCCACCTGCTATTACCAAGGATGCATCTCACCCCATTATGGTTTCTTTTCTTCACATGCAGATGGGGGTGCAGGGAGCATGTTCCCACCCTCAAGCCTTCGTGCCTTTCTCAGCCGGCCCTAGGGACTGCATCGGCTCAAACTTTGCTCTGACAGAGGCCAAGGTTGTCCTTGCGCATTTGCTAAGGCATCTCGAGTGGGAGCTGTCACCCACGTACGTACACTTGCCGATTAATGGGATCACGCTTAGCCCTAAATACGGTATGCCGCTTCGTATGAGGTTGGTGGAGTAGCCCTCGATCTTCGTGATGGACGTGTGCGATTTTGTTATCTGCCTTTATGCCGCCAATACTTAGTGCTCTGTGTGTAAGCTACTAGTCCTAAATGGCTTTAAAAAAAAATATCCAATAAGGATGTTTCGAGGGCTTGAAGATTTTGTCATGGGTATAGCAATCGCCATTTGTTTTTGTTTTTGGGTATAGCTTGTACAAGTGCATATCAGAAAATTGAATGATAGTGATAGGGGGAGAGTACACACAATATAGATAAGTGTTGTACCCTCTAAGAGGCTACCCTATACAGTCTATACAAACATAACAAATAGACATGTTTGACACACCCCCTAGACTGCATAGGGGAAAGTCCTAAACAAACAGCTCAGGGCGGCACTACTAGTCCAACCTCTGAGACAAGGGTCTGAGCGACCAGTCAGAAGGAGTACAGACAAGGCAAGCAAAGAGCAGGGCGGCACTACTAGTCCAGCCACTGGGAGAGGACACAAGTCCAGTCTGAGTATACATATAAAGGACAGTACAAAGTCAAGGTCCTAGCAAGTGAGAGGCTACAGGAACTAGACCAAGCTGTACACAGTGCCGCTGATGATCTTTAGGCGCAAGCACCTTCGTAAAGATATCAGCCGTGTTGGCATCTGAGGCCAAGTGTACTACGCGAGCCTGACGTCGTTGCTGTAGCTCACGCAGGAGGAAGTACCGCAGCTGAATGTGCTTCGCTCTGCCCTCGAGTCGAGGCTCCTGACACAGGAGGATCATGGCCCTGTTGTCAGCGAACAGGACCGGGGCAGAGCTAGGTCGCTCACCTAAGTCAGTGAGCAAGAAGGTCAGCCAGCGGAGCTCCTGTGCCGCCATGGCACCGGCGTAGATCTCAGCCTCACAGCTGGACTGTGCAACAGACGAGGAGCGAGTAGCTCTCCACGAGACGGCACCTGAGCCAAGGCTGAAGCAGTAGCCCTGGGTAGACCGGAGTGTCTCAGCGTCGTCTGCCCACGAAGCGTCTGTGTGCCCAGTAAGGACCGCTGGCCTGCGTCCTCCTAGCACTAACCCCATGCCCGATGTCCTAGCAAGATAACGCAGAACCCTCTTAGCGGCAGACCAGTGCTGCGGTCGGTGTCTGCCTGTGGCCACAAAGCGAGCCAGGATGCTGAGAGGGTATGCGAGATCTGGGCGAGTGCAAGTCATCAGGTACATGAGGCAACCCACCAGCTCTGCGTAGGGGCCGCTGGGCTCTACCAACTCCTCAGGCACTGGAGCGGAGAGCCTGTGGTCTACAGGCAGAGGGGTGGGCTGTGCAGAGGAGAACTGAAGGCTGAACCTCTGAAGGACCTGGCGCACCAAGTGTGACTGAGTCAGGGTGATGGTGCGCGCAGCTCTGTCCCTGGAGATCTGCAAGCCAAGGTAACGGCGCAGTTCTCCAAGGTCAGTGCAGGTGTGTCTCTTCAGCAGCTCTGCCTTCACGGAGGCCAGCGCGTCCCTGTCTGCTGTGGCAAAGACCAGGTCGTCGACGTAGACGAGGATGTAGAACGGAGTCTGGCCAGCACGAACGAAGAGTGAAGGGTCTGCAGAAGACGGAAAGAACTGCAGGTCATCAAGCGTAGCACGCAGAGTGTCGTGCCACTCACGGGGAGCCTGGCGCAGGCCGTAGACGGGACGCCGCAGGTGTGAGAGTACGACACCGTTACACCACTTGGCCTTTTTCATATTTCATCTTCATTTCATTCCTCTTTTATCTCATCTCCTTTTGCCTCATATTCCCCATTTTCCATTATCCTTTGGTTTCTTCCCTTATTATAATTATATCACCGACCAAGCATGGAATGTTCTAGACACGCTATCTAGCGTAATCCTCTCGTAATCTCTTCAAGCCAATAGCCTCGCGTGGCTATACGCAGGGTGATTCTATTTTCTAGAAGGGTCTATTCCTTTAGATAGGATAAACCTGGTTACCTGATGTACTCTGGAAGTATAAAAGCGCCTTGTACTGATCGATAGTGCAACCTTTCCTCGACACATTCGATCCTGTGACACTTGGTAATCAGAGCTTTTCTCACTCGGCCGCGCTCAGCTAAGCAGCAGCAGCGGGGATCCTGCCTCGAAAAACCGCCGGGGGCGACCAATTCGACGCCGATTCTGGTAAGCACCAGCTCCGCGATTCTCGAATTACCCCCTCCGTGCGTGTTTTGAACAGGATGGCAACCTTCGACAACGCCGAGGTTACCCAGCAGCTCTTCGCGCGCATCGCAGCCCTTCAGGAGGAAATGCGAGCGGATCGCGAAGCGTGGCGAAACCAGTTCGAGCGAGTAACTCGACTCGCCGGAGCGCAGCACGAGACGACAACGGCGACGACGCAGCAGTCGCAGCAGTTTCTCGAGGCTCCGAAACCGCGCCCACCTGAGCCGTTCGATCCGAGCGATCGAAACTCCGACGCCCGCAGATGGATCGCCGGAATGGAGATCTACTTCGCAGCCGTCGGATGGAGCTCGCCAGTCTGGGACGGTCAACGCGTACGACTCGCGGCGACACTAATGCGAGGGCCGGCACTCGAGTGGATTGGCGGCAACAGTACTTTCATCCACGGTGAAGCCACGTGGCAGCAGTTCCGCGCCGACCTGCTGAAACGCTTCGAACCGATAAATTCAAGTTTTCTTGCCCGCGAAAAAATTCATCGTCATCGACAGTTCGGGAGTGTATCACAGTACACGCAGCAGATGGAAGAATTTTATAACCGCATTCCCGACCTGACCGAAGGGGAAAAAGTGCAATCGTACCTCGCAGGGCTGAAGACCGAAGTCAAACGACAGGTGGCAGCGTCAAACTACGCGAGCTACAGTGACGTCGTTTCGGCCGCGGAGCGCTTCGACATGGTCAACGCCGGAACACGACGGACGCACGTCGGCAGTACGTGACAGGGCGACCGCTCGGCTCACCCCACGTTCGCCGACCCGATGGAAGTCGACAGATTCGAGGGGCGGCCACGTCCGAAAAACACCAACTACACGTGTGATTTTTGCGGGGTGCCGGGCCACCGAATCTTCGACTGCAACAAAATGAAGGCCGCACGCGCAGAGTATCGGGCACGCAACAGTGGCGGAAATCTTTCGGCCAATCAGAAGACAAAAAACGGGAGTCGCCAGTGATTGCGGATCTAGCTGGCGAAAATAAAAAGATCCGAAAGCGGCCGCGGGATTCCGGAAAAATCAACTTCGACGAAGCTGATTCGACGCGAGAAGGAGGAAATGATGGGGGAAAATCTCCACCCCACGACCAGTCTTCGCCAGGGAAATTCGCCGAGGAAAAATCAGACTCCACGAAAAAAGACTCTGCCGAGACAGGGAAACTCCTTGAAGACCCAAGAAATTATAAGAGTTCGTTAAAGTTATCTTATAAAGATGCTTTAATGAAAACTTATGATGTTCGAGGGGCTAGAGCCTTGGAGAAATTTCGGGAGGGACTCCAAAAGAAGCAGACAGCTGTGGAGATTATACCGGTACCGGACAACTTGGGGACCAAATTAAGGAGTGTGGAAAGAAGCCGACCTTTCCACGGAGTCAACGTCCTCTCCCGACACCAGCCCACAACGACTACCCGCTCCCCAGGGAAGACGTCGGTGGAGCTGAAGCAGCTCAAGAGGAAGCTGGGGGTCTACAAGAAGCTGCAAAAACCCCGAACTCCTTCTACGGATGCATCCAGTTCTTCGGCATCAGTGACGCGCACAGTCGTCAAGGAAACTCCGGGCCCTGGAGAAGAGCCGTTCTCCAAGCAGCCTCGGCCAGCTGCCAGCTCAGGAGTAGACAGCAATACAAAGGTGTGTACGGAATATTGGGATGTACCCTATGACCCAATCAATGAAACTATCTTTGGGTACTCCGAGCAACGACTGCCCCTCGTGCTCGAGGTCATCTGCAAAGGACGACGCCTCCAAGCACTCATGGACAGCGGAGCGTCACACACCGTCTGCGACAAGGCAATGATCGACCGACTCCGGGAAGAGTACAAGCCTTCAGGATTCTCTGCAACGATGGTGGATGGCAGCAAGTTACCAGTACACGGCGAAGCAGTGCTACATCTACAAATCGGACCACTGCGCTGGAGACCTGCACTCCCCATCACCAACATCAAAGGGCTTGACTTGATCTTCGGGCGAGACTTCCTGAAAAAATTCAACCCCGAGATCAACTGGGTGAACCGCACCGCAAGCATCTACAACAAAGGACGGAGAGTACAGCTACCCAACTGGGACGATACAGGAGATATCCCAGTGGAGACACTCGCACGGTTCGAGAAGGATGTGAAGCGGACCGACACCGGGTTCCTGGCGATAGCAACAGAGGTGGAGAATGACGGAGAGAAAGCCTCGGAAACTCCAGGAAAAATCAAGGAATTGCTGAAGGAGTTCCAAGACATTCTTCCTGACGACCTACCGAACGAGCTACCGCCATACCGCACACATCAACATGAGATCGTGGAGGAACCAGGTTCGAAGCCGACCTTCCGAGCACCATACCGGCTCAGCCCTACGGAGCTGACCGACATGAAGAAGCAGATCGAGTATCTCCTAGCCAAAGGACTCATCCGACCATCTACTTCGCCATACGGTGCCCCAGTACTCTTCACACCGAAACCGGACGGAAGCCTGCGCATGTGCATCGACTACCGAGCTCTTAACAAGCAGACCATCAAGAACAAATATCCGATACCGCGAATCGATGACCTGCTTGACCAGCTTCGGGGAGCTACGGTATTTTCCAAACTGGATCTGCGGTCCGGATACTGGCAGATACGGATGGCGGACAACTCTATCCACAAAACTGCTTTCCGAACTCGGTACGGATCGTATGAGTATTTGGTCATGCCGTTCGGACTCACCAACGCGCCGGCAACGTTCCAAGCCGAAATGAACCACATTCTACGACCACTTCTAGACGAATGCGTGGTGGTGTACCTGGACGACATACTCATCTACTCGCGCGACATGAAGCAACACGTCGAACACCTGCGACGCGTCTTCGAAATTCTTCGACGAGAACGATTCTACGTCAAACTATCCAAGAGCGAATTCGCCCTTGAAAAGGTCCAGTTCCTAGGACACTTGGTGAGCGCTCAAGGAGTTCACGTCGACCCCAAGAAAGTCGAAGCCGTACGTACGTGGAAGACACCCGAGAAC